TGGAGCAAAACATCTAAGTCAGGCTCAAGGCCTGGAGGCGATAAGAGCATAAGATGTGGTCTTGGGGACAGAGAGACCGGGGTTCAAATCCGAGTGTTCTCATTTCTGAGCTGTGTGACCTTGTGCAAGGTTGTTAACCTTCCTGAATCTGAACAGTCCCACCCGTACAATGGGATTAAGTCACTGCCTCAGAGGCATACGTAGGAGTTGAATGAGGTCACACATGCTGCATGCAGTGGGTCCACTGATTTTCAAGAGAGATGGCCAATGTAGACACATGCCACATCAATGGGAGCAGAGCCCTGAATGAGGGAGGTGAGGCAGGTCAGACCCCTGAGATGGGCATTCTGTTTTGTTCAAGCCTATCCTGAGCCACTTATGGGATAAACTAGGGCCTGTGGGGCACCCAGCCTTGGAACCTGAGGCTTCCTTGAGCTTCCCCAGGCTCTGAGCAGCTAGAAGTTTCCAGCTGAGCCCTTATGGCCCTCTGCTCTCCCCACTGATTTTGGGGGCTCAGAGGCCCGGGATTGCTCTAGTTTGAGTTGCTTGGCCCCTTTCTGCCTCTCCTCAGACCTCAAACTTTTACTTAATAGGTTTCTTTAATCAGCTTACCTTTTTATTCAGTCCTTTAAAAAAATATTTTAAATTGATCTTTGAATAGTTCCAAATATTAAAAAGGTACCAAGGTATGAAACCTCCTTCGTCCTGTGTCCAGGGATGTGGTTTTTGTCCCTGGAGGCAGCCACTGTTTCTGAACATGTACATACACACACACACACACACACACACACGACACACACATATGACATATACACACACTCTCTTTCTCCCTTTTCATTTTTCTTATCACACAAACAATAGCATTCATACACTTTTTTTACCCCTAACTTTTCCCCATTTCATGATATCTCTTGCTGTTTTTTCCCTAGTAGTTCATTTGAAAAGCATCCTGTTCCTTTTTATAGCTGCATAGTATTCCACTTCATGGGCATTCCAGGATGCATTTAATCACTCCCCTTTGCTTGGATATGTAGGTTATTCCCCTCAGGACCTTTTAAGTATGTTGCAGCTCTTGAGTCTGGTGGTAAAAATCTCGGAAGTAACTGAATTCATTTTATGGGATACATTGTAGCATGACTGTGAATGGAAATCCAGTATCCCTTTGGGCAATTCAAAGGTTACTGTGAAAAGTCAATAAAAAGGAAATAATGTTATTGAACTCTGGCTGGATACTGTAGTCTGTCCTAGGTAGGCAGTTGAGGCTATCTGGGGATGTTAAAGACGTAATAGTTCCCACTTGACACTTTCTTGGAACAGTATCAGATCATTGCAAGGGGCAAAGAATGTGGGCACAGGAGCCAGCCTGGTTCAAATCCCTCAGCCCCTGGCTGGCTGCATGTGTCTGAAGCAAGTGCTATGTCTGGTCAGTGCCTCAGTTTTCTCATGTGTAAAATGAGAATTATGATGGCCTTGCCCCTCACGCTGTCAGAAGGATTAGATGTTACTAACCTGCTTGGTGCCTCAGTTTCCCCACAAGTCTCTCTAGGGGATTAGACCAAGTTATCTCCTAAGTCTTTTCAGGACTAAAGACCCTTCAGAGTTTGACTGGTCACCACTGGGGGCCTCCAGGTGCTGAATTTGGGGACCTCAGGATCTCAGGGGTCTCCTCTTCCACCATCCCCTGTGGCGCTGAGTGGGTGAGCCCACGTGAGACTGTGTACACATGAGTGTATGTGGCTGTTGATCCAGGTGGTGGCAGATGGGGTGGGGCTATGCAGACCCCGGGGTACCCACAGGCGCCTTGGGGGGAGCATTCAATGATGGCGTTCTTTCACCTCCCTCCTTCTCTCTCCAGCCCTCCTGTTGGGCCCACATCGTGACTCCATGTCC